CCATGTGGACACCCCAGGTGCCATCATGGTGCCCCATGCGACATGGCTGCTGACAAAGCTCTCACTGTGCAGTGAAAGAACCTAGCATGCGACATGCTTTCCGAATGTGAAGTCATCCAATCGTTCACGGCAACCACATGGAGCTAAATACTACCATTATCTCTGTCTTACAGAGAAGTTGTGCAGATGGCTCCGAGTCAGCAGGAGGACCCTGAGGGGCGAGGCCTGTTTCTGGATCCGGGCTCTGGCGTCTCCGCTCCTGCCCACGCCTCGGCTCACCGGCTCCCCTTCTCACAGGCAGCTGGCCACGGGGACACTGGGTTATGGCAGAACCTACTGAGGCTGGAGTGCTGACCACAGAAAGCAGTTTATGCTCTGGACCAGCAACCGTTCTGCGGCCGCGTTTCTCTCTCAGCCAGACCATGACGCACCCAGGGAGAGAGTGTTACGGCGCGAACGATTCTGAGACCCACGGAGCCAATTGAAATTAATTATGAGCCTTTATTAGCCGGCCGGCGACTGACTCTCTACCACGCAGGGCTAGAGGAGATCAGCCCCGAGCTTTCAGAGCAGGCAGCTGATAAAGCTCAAGACCATATCCTGGTGGTCTCCTGAACGAGCCAGCAGATTACAGAAGTGGAAGTTGGCTGTTAGCATATCTTTGCCTGGAACAACACCCTTAATTAACAAGTAAATGGATTACAGAAGCAGACATCGGCCACCTACATATTTTATACAATACACGTCCTAAACCACACACAAGCAAGTAGGACAACTTCTGATATCTAAAGATATTTCTTCCCTGTAGCTGACTTAGCTAGTTTGCTCACTTGAAAATTTTCCACCCTTAACACACACATATACTTACAGAACCAAGAATAAAGTGGGGTTCAGAGGAAATGATTATAGTACAATGGCTGTGTGATCTGATAATGTGATACAGTACAACGGGGGGAGAAAGGAAGAATACAAAAAAATGTTTGAACTGTTTTTTGTAAATTAATACGCTGTACAAGCTTGCGGCCTATGAGCAATGGTCTATAACACACGGCCTAGGTAGTACTCACTGGAGTAGCACTTTTAATTTCCTTCAAGAACTTTCCCTCTGCATTCACAGCTTGAGTGTCTGACGCAGGAAGCCTGGCTTTGGGCTTATCTCAGCTTTTAAGATGCATTCCTCATTTATCTTAATCATTTCTAGCTTTTGATTTAAAGTAAGAGGCTGTGTGACTCTTTCTCTCACTTGAACACTTAAGAGGCCATCGCAGGGTCATTCATTTCAATATCGCTGTATCTCAGGGAACAGGGAGCCCCCAGGGGTAGGGTGTGGGGGGTCGGCCAGCTGGTGGAGCATCCACAGCTAATACAACGTTTATTAAGGTATAAGTCTTATATGCGAGTGCTTCGTGGCACCCCGCCAAAACTATTACAATAGTATTATCGGAATTCACTGATCACATAACAAATACAATACTGAAAAAGTTTAAAATATTGCGAGAATTATCACAACGTGACAGAAACACGAAGGAGGCAAATGCTGTTGGGAAAATGGCACGCCTGACTTGCTTGAGCCAGGGCTGCCACAAGCCTTCAATTTGTAAAAAACTTAACAACTGCAAAGCTCAATAAAATAAGTCACCACCGTACAAACATAAGAGATCCTGGTTTACTGTTAGTTTCATGTGGGGCTTTTACTATGGACCCAACGAAGACGGGAGAAATTCCGCCTTCTCCCTCTGGGTCAGTGTCCTGAAGCGAACCCCCATTCCTACCTCCCACACCATCCTTTTCTTCCTTGAATTTGTGCCTCAGAACAGTCTGATCCAGTCCACATTCCACTGCGACCCCACGCGCCGCCCAATTCCAACTATCTGGCTGTCCCCGCCCCCCAGGACCGTGGTAGGATCCTCTTGACCTCACCAACATGGCTGCTGGAAGCGGCTTGCAGGAAAAAGAGGGGCGTGGTCCTAAGGATCACTTCCGCTTCCGTCCGCGCAAGCGCTTGCACTTCTGCTACCGTGACTAAGATGGAAGCGTTTGGGGAGTCGCGGCTCGGACTCTGGGCTGGGGGTCCGGCCCCCGGGCAGTTTTACCGCATCCCGCCCACTCTGGGTTCCTCGGTGGACCCCGGGTCCGCGTTCTATCGGGGTCCGATTACGCGCACCCAGTAAGCCCTGGGCGCCTCGGCCTGCGCGGGGGATGGCCGGTGGGGCCTGGCGCGACCGGCGGGTTCCGAGGGCCGGGGAAGGCGACGAGGAGCTCCGGGTGCCGAGGCCCGGGGAATGACAGGAGCCTCGGAACATTCGCAGCGGAACCCCCTGCGCGGAATGGGACTCGGCTGTCCCCCGCGCCTCCCCTCCAGGCCTCCCTCTCTCTGTCCAGGAACCCCATGGTGACCGGGACCTCGGTCCTAGGCGTGAAGTTCGACGGCGGAGTGGTGATTGCCGCAGACATGCTGGGCTCCTACGGCTCCTTGGCGCGTTTCCGCAACATCTCTCGCATCATGCGAGTCAACGACAGCACCATGCTGGGCGCTTCCGGAGACTACGCCGATTTCCAGTATTTGAAGCAAGTTCTCGGCCAGATGGTGTAAGTCAGCTAGAGAACAGGGGATCCGCTGTTTCGTTATCCCCTTAAGAAGTCCCCTTAAGAGGCTGCAGCAGAGGACAGGGAGAATTATTGGGGCGGAAGATGTGTGTGCAGCAGCCAACTTGCCACGTTTACGGGTGTAAATCGGGGGCGACTTTTATGCTCTCCTTTTTTACACCATCATTTAATTTGAAGGATCGATGAGGAGTTGTTGGGAGATGGGCACAGCTATAGCCCTAGAGCCATTCACTCCTGGCTGACCAGGGCCATGTACAGCCGCCGCTCCAAGATGAACCCCCTGTGGAACACCGTCGTCATCGGAGGCCATTCCGACGGAGAGAGGTTGACTTGAATACAAATAACTTATTTCCTTCACAGCCTAACCTCAAGTGCCCTGTAGTGTCTGTCCCTCACCCCTAAGTAAATCCCACTTCCAACTCAGACCCCACGGTCCCATCTTCCAGGTAAGGTACGTAAACCTAAGGTGAAATGAGTTCTTTGACCTACTGTGTCTTGTTAGCTTTCTCGGTTACGTGGACATGCTTGGTGTTGCCTATGAAGCTCCTTCGGTGGCCACTGGTTATGGTGCATACTTGGCTCAGGTAAGTAGTCAGTTGAGAGGTGGGGGAGAGGGGAAGACAGTAGGCAGTGGGGGTTAATGGGTTGTGTGGTTGTTCTTCCCTTGAAATTCTGACGTGAGGAACAGGCTAGGGTCCCTCCTGCTGGGCAGATGGTTCTCTGTGCAGTCCAGAGGCCGTGAGTGGAATGTTCAGGCGTCAGTAGGCATGTGGAGAGGACACCCTAGGTCTGAGCACAAGCAGTCAGTTATGGTGTGGCAGCAGGTGGAATGTCATCTCCCACTCATTTGTGCATATTACAAAATCGGTCTTCAGCCCGATACCTCTCATGTTCTCGCCCCCTGATCTCCCTAGCCTCTGCTGCGAGAAATCCTGGAGAAGAAGCCAGTGCTGAGCCAGACCGAGGCCCGGGAGCTCGTGGAACGCTGCATGCGAGTGTTGTACTATCGGGATGCCCGCTCGTACAACCGGGTGAGGAGGGGCGAATAAAGGGGCTGAGGCTCTAATCGCCAGGTTCGGACACTTGCAAATGCCTGGGGCATCTGAGCTCTGAAGAACAGGTTGCTTCACGTCTGGCTCCTGTTTCATGTTGGGGAAGGCCCTCTACTTGACCCTTTCATGTGGGGTTGGGCATTTTTATTGAGAGCTTCTTTCTTCCAGTTTCAAATCGCCACCGTAACTGAAAAAGGTGTTGAAATAGAGGGACCACTGTCTGCAGAGACCAACTGGGATATTGCCCACATGATCAGGTGATTGAAATTTAAATTATAGTAGAAAAAAATAGGTGGTAGAGTTGAGAGGCCCTTTGGCTTGCACGAAGTTAGATTTTTCTGGAAATCTCAACCCAAAAGTCCTCTGGGTGGAATGTGTTTTGGTTGGATAGAACTGCTTTTAGGTGTTGATTCCTCTATGGTTTCACAATTTTATTATGTTCTTCCTTTTTAGTGGCTTTGAATGAAATACAGGTGGATTATCCAGAACTGAAGTTGTGTCCTCCTTCTTTGAACTTGGCAGATTCAAAGCCACTTTTCTTTTGTAAAATAAATCTTTTGGAATGCTTGCTGAGTGGTTGTGTTCTATATGACTAGGTCACACCAAGAGCGAAACCCCTAAGTACTGCCATGTGCTATCTCTCCCCCTGGTCAGAGAACCCTTTGGATCTTGGTTCTTAAAGCAAATAGAGTTCTCTGCTTGACAGTACAGAGGATGCACTGTCTTCACTTGGGGCTGTACTGAAGGTAGCTTTGTGTGGAAGCCAGGTTAGCATTTCTCTTCAACATTTCCACCCATTACTAGATTCTGATACTTTCCGGCTAACTTTGGCTGCAAATGTGATTTTAGTTAAGACACTTTCAAAGACATAGTCTCTAGTAGAGCTGTTCTGTATAAGGTTACCCCCAAGCTGGAACTGATGGCCTCAGTCCCTCCCCCAGTCTACTTCCACGTGGGGAATACTAAGTAATTTCAATATTTAACCTAAACGTTTGTCCAAGTCTGCTACTAATTTCTGTCACTGTCAGAAAACCTCTTGTAAGTTCTGTATATTCGTGAAAAAGTCCTAAGTGTGGCTGTGAGTCAAATCGGTTGAAGTATTAGCCAAATTCCATCCCTAGAATGGTGTTAAACTTTAATTTAAAAAATGAACATCCTAGGTAATTCTGATGCATATCCTCGCTAAACCTCTTTTTGAGGTTAGTACAGGCAGCACACCCAGACACTTACCAGACACTTCAGTGGCGTGAGAGCTGAGGGAGAAATCAAAACATCTCTCCATGATTACAACAAACTAGTATATTTTAGCAGAAGAAAACCATGAGCTTCCAATTGGAATATTCTACACATTCAATCTCAACACAGAAAGTAGTCAATAAATACTTGTTTATTGATTAAACTGAATTATAAAAAACAAAACAAAAAAAAACTTCCTTCTACTACTAAGCCATGCAGGCAGAATCCACAAAGATAACTTCCTGGCCAAACCCCAGCTGACCCCACTGTTGGTTCTCTGCTCTTAAAAAAATTACCCATCAAAGTCGTAGTGTGTGCAGAGGCCAGGAGCCCAGCTAGGCTAAGCCCGGGTCTGCTACAGAGACTACCACAGAAGAGTTAGGCCATTGTACATAGAGTTGACCATGTTCTTGATCTTTCTCAAAGGCAAAGGGTTGAGTTCAAAGTCCATATTCTGTCAAAATGGCATCAGGAGAAAAGCTGGGGAAGAGAAGCCCAGATGGATCCTCAGTTCAGTTTTCAGATGCCACGGGTCACAAAGCTGGCCAAGCTGTTTATGGGAGGGATCACTCCAGTTCACTATATTATAGTGTTCTGGGGGTTAAAAAACAGACCAAAAAACGAAAAAAACAAAAAAACAAAAAAAACAAAAAACACGGGTGAGGAGAAACAGGTGGTAACAGACATCACACCTGTACCACCAGGCCCATCACATCTTGAGCATCTGCCAGTCTGTGAAAGCCTATTAAAATAGGTTTACCTAGAAAAAAAAACCACGTTGTTTATAAACCCATATCCCCTCATCTTATTAAATGTTCCACTTATGTACATTCTAAAGATGAACGATTTACAAGCCTGTGCAGCTCACCTCCTTGGCTCACAGGAAGGAGACGCTGCTGAAAGCCTCAGGATGGACAGGAGGATGGTGTAGCTTAGGAAAGGTGGGCTTAGATTTTTGTTCCTTTTCTCTATGTTATAGTACATTTTTGTTTATAACCATGAGTACATATAATTTAAAAAAAAAAAAAACCCTCATGCAAATTGTAGAAAAAATTTTCCTTGAAGCTGGCATTGAAAAATAAAGAGTCGTGTCTTTCTCTGCGCACACCTGTGTGTTTCTTCTGCAGGTCAGATTCTTCTCTAAACATTAAGAGAAATAAGGGAGAGCCACAGGGTAAGCAGGATTTCGACGAGTGGGCTTTTTAAAGTTCTACATTTAACTTCCTGCACAATTAGCTCCTGGCTGTGGGACACGCGCGCGGTCTCCTGAACAGGCACACTGTCCACTTAGCAGGATGAAGTTAAAGCATGGGCTGCCCCTGGGGTCTGCAGGACGGAGACCCCACGCTGGGAATGGCTCCTACCTACCCCGACTCTGTCATCAGCTCAGTACCTCGACACGTGTGATCCTTTGTCCTGAGTGATGGGGTGAGGATGGGGAAGGGGCCAAGGACAGCAAGTGCAAAGGATATTGGTTCTGTCGTGTTTTTGCTGGAGGGAGGATGGTAGGGAAAAAAAAAAATCTATTCATCATTCTGGGTGATTAAAGGTTTCATGCATTTTTAAAGCCACGATTCTGTACCTAGAATTGCTGGAGAAACCAAAGTCTCTGGAGAGGTGGGGGTAAGAAAGGAGAAGGAAGAGAGAGTTCAGTGGGACTTTTTTTTCCATTTTCGTTTTTATATAAAAGTGTTAAGACCACAATGAAAAAAGTTTTTTTTCCATATATATAATAAACCAGTTTGTGAGCTACATGTTTTTGTCTTTCCCGTCTTCGGAAATGCTCTCACATTGACAATGGTTGGATGGCATCAGGCCCCAAGACACTGGCCACACAGTAAAACAAACCAACAAACCCAGATGTGCTATGATACAATTGAGGTAAAAGGGGAAACAAAAAATTTAACATTCGCCCACGAAGGATTTTTTTTTCTTTTCTTGATTTTGTCAGAAAAATACCAAACACAGTGATTTAAATTTAAAAAAAAGTCACAGAAACCTGTTTTTAGCACAAGCGAATGACCAGTGGGCCAGCTCCTTGGCTCAGACGTGCTCGCTGTTGGCTTTCCTAATAATCCACAAATCCACAGGGAAGTGTCAGTCAACATCGGGGGCAGTGGTGGCATAAAATTAAAAAATATAAACCAAATACCCCACTTGGTAGACCCCCTTTCCCTAAATCCCTCTCCCTCCCTCGCACCTTCCCGCCCCCGCTTCACACCCCCGCTGGACCCCAACGCTCAAATCTCCATCAGATCTAGGTCAGCCTCTTCAAAGCCATAGAAGGACTCGGTCTCGCTTTCGCCCTCAAAGAGCTGGTGAAGGCTCTCAGGCTCGACTGTCTCTTCAGGAGACGACCTGGGTCGGGGCGTGGAAGCTGAGGGCTCCTCCGACTGTTCCCCACTCAGCTTCAGCTGCTCCTCCAGGGACGCGATCAGCTCCTCCTGCATGTCAGCATTTCTGGTGGGCGAGTTCATGTTGCCGTCGGGGCCAGGCAGAACGCTAGCCACGAAGAAAGACCGCTGAACCAGCTCTGGGCAGTCCCCGATGACGGCCAGCACCTCGGCCAGCCAGGCCAGGACCAGCTGCAGCAGGAACGCCGAATCCCACGCAGTGTCGGCCATTTCCCGAGCCCGCTCCTTCCACTTTTTGTGCAGGAAGTTCTTGACCGTTCGTTTGATGCACACGTCCAGTGGCTGGATTTTGGAGCTACAGCCGGCTGGGACGACCGCGGGCAAAGTGCTGGAGGCACTAAGCATAGCCAGCACCTCTTCCGACAAGTGGGTGCGATGGCAGTCCATCACGAGCATGCCCTTGCCGCGCTGGCAAGCGGTGTGCTTCTGCCACACTCGGGTGGACCACAGCTCCATGATCTCGTCATCGCTGTAGCCCGTCTCCTTTGCCTCCAGCAGGATGGAGTCTGGCACGTCGGCGGGCTGATCCACTTGTCCTCGGCAGAACACCAGGGTGGGGAGGACGGTGCCGTCCGCCAGAATGGCCAGCACCACGTCGCACCAGGGTTCCCCCGTGCCCACGGTCTGCAGGGCGTTCTCCTTCCGGTCGTCGCTGCTCAGCACCTCCGCGTCCAGGAACAAGGAGATCTCGTCGACGGCCACGATCATCGACAAGGGCAAGTCCTGCTTGTGAATCTGCCGCTGAACGAACTCGATAAAGAGCCCCGCGTTCTCCGCCACGCCCTTCGGGAGGCTGTGGGCCACCGCGCGGCGCGCATGGGGCGTCAGGTGGTGCCGCAGCATGAAGCGCACGGCCCACTCGTACGAGATCTTAAACCCCCCCTCCAAGGAACGTCCTATCTTGGTGGCCTTCTGGAACAAGGTCTCCTCGTTCACCGGCAGCTGCTGCTCGCGCTGGGTCAGCACCCACTCGGCCAGCTTCTCTTCCGCCTCCAGGCTCAGGTACTTGCCCTCCAGGTGCTCCCCCTGCGAGGTCTGGAAGCGGCGCAGCCACCGGCGGATGCGCCGCTGCGGGTTCCGGAAGTGCTCGGCGGCCTGCTCCGTGTTGCAGCAGAGCGCGAACAGGACCACGCGCAGCTTCTTCACCGACAGCTGCTCCTTCCTGCCCAGGCCGCCGCTGTTCCCGCCCCCCGAGGCCGCCTCCGGCTCCTGCAGGCCCGGGCTCCCCTCCTCCTGGTCGTCGACATTCAGACACTCGGCCCCCTCTGGAGCCGAGGGCGGCAGGGCTATCGGCTGGGGGTGAGTGGGCGTCGGCGGAGGGGTCGCGGTCGACGCCGGTGACGGGAGTGCCTGGGCCGCGGGAGCGAGGAGCTCTTCGGGCTCGGCTGGGGTGGCCCCCGCAGACTTCACAGTGGCCGCTTTGTGAGAGGGGAAGGGAGGAGGAGGGTACAGGTTCTTCGAGCTCCGGTCGTGCACGCGCTCCCGCGACTGGCCATGCCTGCGGGGTCAGCGTAGAGGAGAAAGCTCGGTCAGGCCAGGCGGCGGAGCGGCAGCAGCAATAACAATAACGTTAAAGACCAAACGTACTGCAAAATAGAAACTAAACCACGAAGTGGGTTTCTGTTACCTTGAGTGAGATATCCAAGTGAGTCCTATGGAAAACGAGACAGTAAAAAAATGTTAGCTCGGCGAAGAAACAAGCCTTCCGAAGACAGTTCCTTGGGACTGCAACCAAAAAAGCAAACCTACTGCCTCCCCGGGCTCACGCAAACGTCAGGTCAGAACGCACCCAAAGGAGTGGAGTGTGTCAAAGGGCGCCGCGCTAGGCCCGGGAAGCAGGCTCCTGACTTGCCGTCGCCTGTGTCCTCCCCTCTCTTGCCCTCCCAAGCCCCGTCCGGCCGGCCGACTCACCCCGTGGCAGGACGCTGCTGGACCCGTGAGAGGGGTTGAACACCAGATGCTTGGCCATGGCGTCTCCCACAGAGGTGACAAAGGTACAAGAGCTGCAGGCCAGCCTGATTCCACTGCGAAGAGCCCAGGGTGAGTGAGATGGACACAGCAGTGACACCAGAGACACTCAAGCTGAGGCCTAATGGAGTGTCCCTGCTCTCTCTCATACCCACCCCCCTAGACAGTTCAAAGGATCTAATGCAAAACTTGAAACGTTAAGAGGCCATCAGTAACTGCTTCCTTACCTCACGGAATTTTTAAACAAAGCCAAATACTTGGGGCTCTTCCTTGGAACGTGGTTGCTGAGGAAGACAAAAAGTGGTATGAGGTGCAGGGTTCTGCTGGCTACACGGGAGCCCCCCAGCCACGGACAGTGCCCCAGCACGAGACACCTCCGCAGTCCATCCTGACAGCCCAGGCCAGTCTTCCTAGCGTAGCGGGCGCGGGAACGAGGCATCTACGAGAACGCGCACGGAGCCGGGGTGGGGCCCAGAGGCTCCCTTTCTAGCAGGCTCCCCCACGGTGCTGCTGGTCCTCAGACCGACCTGGCGCAGAAGGTCCCACAAAACCAGAGCACGGACCGTCAAGCCACATGAACATGGGCTGGCCCCTGAGCCTGCTCAGAGAGACACCAACAGCTCTGAGCGCTGGAGAGAAAACACTGTAAGCGGGAGGTCGCGAAGAGTTCTGGAGAGCCCGAATCCCCAGCCACTCACTTGATCATGTGGTTGGCGTATGCGCGCGAGCAGCAGGTGCTGTAGCGACACAGAGAACAGTGGACGTAGGTCGGGAAGTGATTGGGGAAGTCGGGGATCTCGAAGCTGCACTCCAGACACGTCTGCCGGCCCATGACGCTCCTGCCAAGGAGCAAGGAAGACTCGTTACCGCCTCTGGGTCCCCAAACTATAGGGACTTCAGACGACAGATCCCACTGAAAGGGGCCATGGCACACTGGCATCGGGGAGTGCCCACCCAGCCCCCACTCGCGGGGAGGCCACTGACATCTTCCTGACGGCTCTCTTCTGGACGTTGCGCTGGACGGGGGGGTAAAGGAAGACTGGCAGAGGGTCCGTCGAGGCCAGCGGCCCCGCCTCCTGCAGGCTGCTGGGAGGTGCATCACCGGAGGAGACAGGTGCGGTTCGCGGCTGACCTCGGGAAGCCCGGATTGTCACCTGTGGGTCAGGGGAAGGGACGATCAGGCGCGCTGCACCTCGGACACCGAGCGTCTTCATTCCTCCTGGACCCGTAACGGCGATGCCGACAAACCCCTCACCTTGGTGCCTGGTTTCAAACCTTCCAGCTGCTTGGGTTTGCGGAAGGTTTTATGGTGCTGAAGCTTGTGTTCGATTTTGTCCTTGGCAAAGAGAAACTGCAGCCGGCACTTGTTGCAGTGATAAACATTCCTCTTCTGAAGGGGGAAAAAAGAGGAAGACTCTCTGAGTCACTCCCGGCGAGTGTTCTTCCCTGAGGAGACAGACCCATGCCAACCCTGCCATTCTTCCCGCCCTTCCGCTGATAACTTAATACACAACAGCAAAACCTAGCACTGAGTCGTCACCTCCCATTCTCCCAGAGAAAGGCGGCCTTCGTCCCCAAACCGTCTCTTCCTGACTTGCTTTAAGAATCTAGACATGTGGTTTAAACCCTACTTGTTCTTACTATCTTCCCATGTGGACAGCGCTACTACACGTCTGGACATTGTTATTCCTTATTATTTTAATATGATAAAATGTACGTGGTAAAAAAGAAAAAAATCATACTTTTACTCTGTACTCCTTCACACTGTAAGTTTGTCTTCGACTGAGACCCTTTCCACAGAAACAGCCTGTTACCAGCTGCCATCATGACAGTCTGTGCATATAACCGTGTAACAGACACCTATGCCCCTCCCCGCCACCCCTTTCCCCTTTACGACAGAAAGGGCAGTACTTTTCTACGCCTTGCTGTTTTTCCTGCTGGCACATCAATCGAAACAGAAGTGCCTCCCTGTGAGCCACACCATTGTGAGGATTCAGACTGCTGTGTGGTGAAGTCGGTCACCAACAGGATCTGCATCTGTGATTTCTTCCTTAGGGTAGGGGGCTCTTGGACCTCAGCTGAGTTACAAGTGACAGCTCCCATGCAGCTATTTGGAAATACACTCGTGGCATTTCATCGGCAGTCGCTAACTGTGCGCGTGTGTGCGAGAGGAAGAGGGTGGCCGCAGCCAGTGGGCGCGTCCGCACACGCGCGCCGTCTCCGTCCGTTTGCACTCCCCTCGTGGCGTGTCATAGCGAGGCCACGTCTATCCTGTCCTAAACACAAGAGCAGCGACGACCACGACTCCTCCCTTGCTACCTACCTCTTT